GTGTGTGTGTGTGTGTGTAAAATCTCATCTGTATTTCCTTTTAGGACTTTTAATTTGAGCATGCAAGATCCATAGGCTGTTTTCATGTTTCTAGTCTGGTTTATGTAGAGTTAAGGCTTGCAATCAGTAAGTATCTATAAAGAGGACTTGGAGTCAGATATAAAACTCAAAAGGGCTTAATGTACTCATGTTTAACTATATTTGAAAAACATCTAGCAGATTAACAAAGACAGTATCATATTTTCACATTCTCTGACTGTGTGCACACCACTCCAGCCAGGAGTCTGTGTCCTGGCTACTTATAGGAGTCATCTGCCATGCAGTATATGAGTTCTTCACACAGACATATATTTATTCAGAGTATGAGCAGTTTCCTCCTCAAGCTTACGGCTATTTAAATTTTCTGAAGCATTACCTTTGAACAGATCTTAAAGGCAAATTTCAGCTACCCACCCATCTTTGTTTGCACATTTTCCCCGACTGATAATATTCAGCAGTAGTGGATGACTTCATAGTAGTCACTAGAAGTTTCTATATCCAGGAAGAACAAGCAACTCAAAAGTGAGTTTCATAATATCATGGGAACCTTTGAATATTTGGGTCTGATTCCCTGATGGAAACTGATCCACAGGGATGGTTGAACTCTCAGTTCTCTAGAGTTCAAGTTGTGTCTTTAAGAATGGTTATTTTCGGAAAGCTCCAAGATTGCGGTGCTTTTTTGTCATTGCCAATGGCTTTGGTAGAGTAAGAGAGAAAGCAAATTAAATTCCCCAATGTGACAAGGCTTTGTGGCTTAATTTCCAGCTCTTGAAGGTTGAGTACTGTTTTCTGGAATTCGACTGCAATGCTGGTAATGAAATTAGGGTCGAACACTACTGCAAAATATTCCGACTCATGGTCATCACTGTCACGACAACATCATTCTCCAGGTCCCTGGAGATGAGTCAGAACCCTTGAATCCCTCTCTTATTGCTTCTTAATCCCCAAAGTCACAAAGTCCTAAACTTCTATTGCTTGCTTTTTTGGAGGTGCCCTTACTTCCACTCCCTCAATTGCTTTGATTCCAGTGTTTATCACTCATTTTCAATATTCTATAGGAAAAGTTAAACTGTCTTCAACCCTCTTTCCCATTATAAATGAACCACCAAATCAGTTCCCCCAAAATGAGTTAACTTCTGCCAAAATTAAAAACAATCTAATCGTAATTTTTATTCTTATAGTAGGATCAAGTCCAAATTATCTACCGCGGTAGATATGGACCCACATCCACAATGCCCAGTGAGGCGCTCAGATGTTATCACGTACACACGTCGCTTGTCCACAAACACCAAGCTGCACTTGTTACTGACCCTTCCACTCTGTTTACTCCTCTTGACAACTCCCCTTACCTCACTGACCCTGGTCACTGTTTTTCGTTGTTAGACTTGTCTTTCTTTTTCAGAGGCAACTCTTACCCTCAAGTCAAGAAAACAGTGACCTCTCTGTTTGGGCCCTTGAAAAAAGTTCTTTTCTTCTCTTGCCCTGCTGCGGGGCACAGTAGAGATGTTTCTCTAAACTGACTCATGCACGGTAGAGCTAAAGTTTTTCCATCCTCAGCATCACTTTCTCAGAGTCAGGAACAAGGGACCGGCCTTACCTTGATGGAGTTCTTCGGAATTGGAATTTTTCACAGATTCTCTTTGAGAAGAGGTTAAGTCTAATACAAATCATCAACTTAATCTTTCTTTTGTATCTAGAGTATGTAAAGCAAATGCAATACAAATGTGTGGCTGCTTTGGTATATAATTATTCAAATTAAGTTTTTAAATAAAAAACTCGAAATGCCATCTCATAAAGGGTGTTTAAAACATAGTAGACTAAGAACTTAGGTCATTGAGCTTCTACAGCAAGTTCGAGCACCTCCTGATGCTGGCCCCTACTAATAACTTAAAAATCCAAACGCAAAGTATGTTAATAGCATCAATGACTGGTTATTCAATACATCAGCAAAGGAGTGTTTGAAACTTGTGGAATACCCAACCTTACCTTTCTTCCCATAGTCATGTTTAGAACTGAAGACTGCTGTTGTATGTGTATGAGAACAGGGACCTACACTGTTTGTTTCTCACCTTGGATGCTCAACAAAGATCTGACAGTTGAGTAAGAGAGCTGAGGTTTAGTGTTATGAAAAATTACTAATTACAATAATTTTTTTTGAAGAAAAGCTTTTTGTGTGTCTTCTTCTGAATCTTTCTTATATCAAAGGGTCCAGCGCTCAGAGCCGCCTCTCCTTGCTTCTTGCCATAGTTTTTCAGTTCAGGCTGCAGGTTCAAATGGTGTATAATTTTCCCCTCAGTACCTTTGGGTATTTCATAATGTTTTGGGTAATGCGACTCATAATAGCCTGCTATTTGGCCTCTACCACACACACAGCTAATATTTTGGGACCAGCTCTTCCTTTGAAGGCTATCAGCACTTTGTGCACAGATAAAACATGATGCAGGGAGGGGTCCATCTCTCTTCCCCACTGCTGGACTCTTGCATCACTATGGAAAAAAGTGTTTCACTCTGCTGTAGATAAAAATCTTTCTCTGCCCATTTCCCATGTTTGACATGAGACTAAATGGTGCAGAACAACAGCTCTTCTCACCACATCCATGCAGATAAGTGAATCAAAGGGAGGATAGTGTGGCAGAAACCGTGACCCCAAAACTGATGGGTTTTGATACTGTCTTCTAGCATATTCTTGATGCCAAACACACGGAGACAGGTTAAGGTAATTTCTGCTGTGCCCCCCCCCCCCCCATTTACAGAAAGAGAATGGACTATATTGTGCTTTGTCCTCTTGGTCCTTTGCTTGTTAGGACTTGATAGATGGAGTCAGGGGCTCAGCCACATTGCTCAGTTCTTATGTTTGATCGCTGGATCAGTTCCAGCCCTCCCCCTACCCCAGATGTCTTGCTTTACTTTGTGGAATTTCTGATGTTCTGTAAATACCCTTGGCAGTCCTTGCCAATGTGGAGCAGGCTTCTCTTGCAGCGAAGTGCCAACTCACCTGGTTGCTTAAGGTCCCTGCTCTCGTGTCCTTGTCTAGATTCTGAGGGCTCACACCCTCTTTCCTCAAGACATTAAAACGATGGGTAGCAGAAGGCTTCGTGGTAACCTGACTACTCTGTACCCTGCCATTGAGGGATTGTGTTCTTCACAGTTTTCTTGTCTGAATTCAGATCTCTATGACTAAATTTAGTCAGGGTAAAGTCACTGAAGTTTCCACACTAAAGTTCTCCCACACGCTCTAAACTTAGTGTGTCAAGTTGGATTTTTTTCCACCCAGGTCAGTCCCAGTTGTTCTGTTTAGGAACCTAAATTATCTGGAAGGGCCGATTCTGTGACAGCGTTTACTATTAAGCAGAAAGAACTTGTCAGTTGCCATCAGGCATGGCAGCCTACATCAGGAATCTCATCATTCATAGAGCAGAGGCAGGAGACCCACCAGTTCCAGTACAGCCTGGACTACAGTAGAGCAGCTCTGCCTCAAAACGTTAAAAACAAACCAGAAAAGCAAGCAAACAAACAAACACAAACAAAATAAGCTCCCCAAATTTCACTCTTTTAACATAATCTGCAGAGGACTGACCACTGGGACATAGACAGTATCATCACCACCATCATCATCATCATCATTTATGCCCCGACAAGGCTCAAGCAAGCATGTGCAGCCAGTTTATGGCAGTTCTCCGGTTGTTCCCGTCCTGGGCAGTCCTAGATGCTTGGGTTATTGTCATCCCAAGGTTCTGCGGTCTTTCTTTATGTTGTCTACCTAGCGTTTTGGGGTCCTTCCTCTTCACCTTATCCTGTGCACTTTTTCAAACAGTGCTATCTTTGGGTATCCGTTGTCATTCATTCTCATAACCTGGCCGAAACATAGATAGTAAGTGGTTTCTAAGTACTCAGTTGTGTTACAATAAGTATGTGATAAATCTTAAGGATTCTTCATAATCAGGAGATTTTTGTTGCGGAATGTACTTATTATGTTCATTAACTTACTTATATTTATTTTCTGTGTGTTCTTGGCCATATTTTTTAAAATAGAAAAACAGCTTTTCTAGGTAACACAAATAGGAAGATTTGTAAAGATTACCCTCAAATTCTTCCTTTTCAAAAGGCCAATGTGGAGCACAAAGACTGTGTCATTGCCTATATGTGCTTTTAAAACTTACTACCATTATAGCAAAATAACTTTACATTTTTCCACTTTAGAAACCAAGAGTTCTGGATGGGGAGTATTCTTTGGTGTGAAAGAGCTTTTTCACAGCCATGTGGTTCTTTTTATGTAAAAAAAAAAAAGTGTATGTTAGTTCATGTGGGCACATTGATTATGATCAATTTTTCGGCTTTGATGTGTTTGTTATTTTATTTTTAAATGAGAATCTGGCTATTATGATTAAATATATTTTGTGCGCTATCCTTCTTAATCATTTCAAATAATTGAGTTAGAAAAAAAATACTCTAGATTAATTTAATACCAAAGGACATAAAAAGGGAAAACATGCCTTCCATTTCAGGCTATTTTCTCTGGGCTCCTTTCATGTACCTGAAGAAGGAAACAGTGTTTCCCTTGCTCTTCTATAATTAGAATTTTAACATTGAAGCTTTTTGTTTTTTGTCAGAATAGATGTCAAGTAATTTGGTAGATGTTGTAAAATCAATCAGAGTCTTTAAAAATTTTGTCCTGCCAAGACTGTGAAATACATTTGTACATATTCATTTTTGAATTGATGGATGGGTGTCAGGCAGTAGGCAGCAAGATTGAGCACTAAACGATTCTTGTGTGAGGCTTGAACAATCTTAGCAATCTGATCTGTAGCACATGAAAAGGCATAGGAAAAGAGCAAAGCCAGAAATATGTATGAGAATTTGGTCTTAAGTCAGGAAATAGCAGCTAAGAATTATTTTTACTGGGAGATACGGAAAAATAGTAAAGCTGGAAGGCTGGGACTTTTGATGAATAAATGAACCGATTATTTTTATGTTTTATTGAAAAGTTACATTATCTTGTGCCGCGTTGAACCCGAGGAGATGAATTGAAAGCGAATTAGAATGAGTGAAGGCTGGGAAGGCTGATTTTATGAGGAAAAATGAAAAATAGGCCAAGCTCCATCGACGATCTTGTAACATTTTGGGGTGAGGAGAGTAACAGCCTGAGAGGTGGAGGGCTGGTCCTCAGCCTACAGCTCCTTCCAGTGGCCCACCGTATCATCACACAAGTGGCTACCAGGCTGTCATAGTGTTCATTTCATTGTACCATTGCACGAGGCAAATTTAATGTCTTCTCACTTTCTCAGGCAGTCAGAATACAAAACAAGAAGGGGTGCAGAATGTCTGGAGTTCATCTCGTTGGGGAAACACGTCCTTTGTAAAGCTGGGGACGAAGTGCTCACGGACACTGGGGAGTGTTTCCGCACTGTACTCCTGGCGTTTGTGGGATGCTTATTTCTTTCTCCTCCTCACTGCAGAACCCCTTGTGCCTTTTGTTTCCGCAATCGTGGCCAAACATCCACTCTGAAGAAGAAAGAATGAAAATAGGAAAATTAATGCAAGCTCAGTGTCTTCTGTGGCATCTACCGGCTCTTTCTCAGTCTGCCCTACTTTTCCTCAAACCTGGCTTGCATACCAACTTGGGGTGTTTCTTTGCAAATCTTCTTAGAGTTTCTGCGAGGAATAGCAGGTTGGTTTTTAAGGGAACAGAATTACAGCTATAAGCCTGTAGAAAACTTTGAGACTATAGTGCTTAGAGTAAACAACTCTGAAGTATAATTCTCTCTGCACCCAAGCCCTTCAGGAACCCAGGGAATGAGTAAATAATTAACTCTCTACTGCTTGCTTGGAAAATGGTGCAGTGTGCCTTAGGGCGTGTTGAGCCAGCACTAGATGGTCTTCGATGTTCTCTGCAGTCCACAAGTTCCAAAGTATCGTTCCTGCCCTTAGGGAAATCGCATTTCAAAACTGGAGGAAGGGGGAAGCCTAGATTAAGTCAAGGTGAGGTGTTTCATTGGAAAACAACAGAAGGTGCCCCACCCCCACCCTGCCTGTATGTCCATAAACACTTAAAACAGTCATTTCGGACAAAGGACATTTTATTTTCCACCTGGAGAGATCGCCAGTTTAGGTGGCTTGGTTTTCCAGGTCTTTGGAACAGTGAGCCACCTTCCAGCAGTGAAGCTAATAAGCAAGGCGTGGCAAGTGGCCAGCAAGGGACATGCTGGAGGTTGGAAAAAGTCCAGAATGCAACTCGTGAACTATTTATAGTTTAAAGGGGATGCTGACCTTTTGAAAAAGTCAAATCAGATACAGAGACAGTGAAATAGAGAAAGAGGAAATTCTGGATATGAACACAGGCAAGGCGATATCGGGGACAGACTCGTGGCCCTAAGTCCCTCTGGGCTTTAATTAGCCAGGGGAGTATGCTCAGAAAAACCCAGTGCTTCATGCAAATTTGGGAACAGCGAGGACTGTGTTAATGACCCACAAAAGGTTACTGGGGATCTCACCTCTTCTATGCATTTTTTTTAACCTTTTAGGAGCCAGGCCACAGGGGAGACATGACACACCCTCAGGCCCCTCTGTTTCTTCCCCTAAACAAACTCTCCAGTTTCCTATCTTTGTGTATCTACAGAAGTCTAAAGAAGCACAGGGGCATGGAACTTTCTGGATGTATCTTCTGCAGTCACATCTGACCCTGTGATAGGATCAGTTGTTACAAAATAAAGTTAAATGTAGCATATGTGACTGGTTGGGGCTACGCCTACATTTGAGAATAGATTCCTAACACAGCTATTCATAGCACTGGTAGACAAACTACCGATGGGGAAGGGAGTCGATAGAGAGGCACCCCTGGTTTTGCAGGTGAAAACTTGGGCCTGGCGTCTGCAGCAAAGAGGAAAGGGCACACCCCTATGTGGTTAGGTGGTTAGGCATTTGGGAGCCTTCTATATATAGAAAGCTTTTCGTTATATGCTATGAGTGAGACAAAATATGGGGCCCCAACACACAGTTATAAGACCACACAGACAGCCACCATTTAGGGAGGCATTCAACAGCATAAGAAACACTGGGGAATATCAGCGGGCCTCTTCCCTGAAACTGAGTGCTGTCTTCCGCACAGACTATGGAGTTGAATGCCATATCCCAGAGAGGAGCGACAGATCGATACAATCTGGCTGCTTCTTCATTCAGTTTCTTGGCTCGTGGCTAAGCGCCAGGGATATATTTGCTGTCTTTGTTCTGCCCTGCACACGTGCTCTGGCAGGCAGCTGCTATGTCTTCCTTTCAGGGCTCAGCCACGATCAGGGTACTTCTGTGAGGTCCTAGCAAGAATTTACATCAGTCCTGGCCAGTAATTACTGTCTCTTTCCAGACACAACTCTTACACATTCTGCATGTTAATGCTCCAGGGCTGTGGAGCCAAGAGGGTGAGGGTGAAATGCTCCCTGTCATAAACCTTGGGGCGGTCCTGGCAGCAGGGAACAAACAGTGCAGCCTCCCAGCCAGGTGCTCAGGGCTCTAATTCCAGCTTTAAGAGGCAGACACAGGAGAACCAGAAGTTCAAGGTCAGCCAAGGCTATAGGATGCCTTGTCTCAAAACATGAAAATGAAAAGGGTGAAGAGGGCATCCTTTCTTCACGTAGAATGGTCAAGGGTATCTTCTCAGATGCTGCTAATGTAAGATGCGACGTCTGGATGATCCTGTCCTCGTCTGTTATTTACTGATGCCCTAAGTATTTACTAATCATATCTACTTTTCACGTGGTCTGCTCTGTTTAAACACAAGCGTTTCTTGGGGACAATGGAGACATTGTCTCCTTGTGTTTCACTAAACATCCCTAACATTCCTCTACCCAAGGTGCTGAGTGTCCTACCAAAGGGACATGTGATATAGTTTAATTACATCAACAATCCCCTTCAAATCATTTAATTTCTTCATTTGTCATCGCATTGTCCAAATTTTACTACATCGCTTAAGCCTGTGGAGAAGTGTTACAGAAATGTATAAAATGAGGTTTCTAGCCCTGGATGGTGAGGAGAGTAATAAGTTGGCATGTGTCAGAGGCAGTGTGAGTCAGACAAAGGGTGGATGGACAGGAGTCCAGGAGTAGCAGAGACCCATTATCTGCTGCTGGTGTAGGAAGATGCTGCAGAGGAAGGGGCATTTAAGGTGAGCCACTCAGAGAGTACGGAATTTACCGAAGAGTGAGAAAAGCAGGTGATTGGCAGGGGGAGCAGCTAACAGATACTCAGGTATGATTATCCCAGGTGAACTGACAGAAGGAAGGCGACCACATTTTGGAGCAGCGAGACGATTCGTCTAGATTAAAATTGATAACTGAAGAATTAGGTTCAAAACTCCATGGTAGATGAGTTCGAAAGTAAAAGTAGGAAATCACAACATGATTGACAGGTGCGGAGTCACACCACGTCCCGATGCTAACGTTAGAGGATGGAAAAGTGGGGGCACCAAACATAGGGAGACAATTTTGTGAGTTTTTCTTTTGTGTGTGTGTGTGTGTGTGTGTGTGTGTGTGTGCGCGCGCGCGCGTTGTGCTGAGGACCACGCCTTGACTTCAAGAGAAGGTGGAGACAGATGAGGGGGTAGGACATTCCAGAGGAAGAAGTGATGACACATGAGCTCCTACCGTATCAGAGGAGAAATCAGAGAATGGTCTGGCAGATTGCATCTGCTGCACAGCACTGGCCCAGACAGTCTGCTTCTATCTATGGCTTAGTGTACGAACGTCTTGCGGCAGGAAGGAAGCTGTAAGCTGTACTTCCTGAATTCCGAAGCATCTTCATGTTTGTCATGTTAGGACATTTCTCATCACCTGTGAGCATATGCAGGGTGACGTTTTTTCCTTGAACAGCAGTCAGTGAATCAATGGTGCATGTTTTAATCGAGGGTGCCTTATTATCAAGCTGTAATATAAAATATACATTATTGATATATTTCAGTTTTGCCTTAAAATAGGCATACTCATTGCAATTAAGTCAAACAATCCAGAGTAATAAATTACATTTAGATATTGAGAACACCATGAATATCATTCAGCAAACACATTGCCCAAAGTAAATAATCACAGAAAATATATTCACCTCCAGAGCTTTGGGCACAATATGAATGCATGGATCACTACTTACAGGAACACTCTGATAAATGTGTTTCTCTTTAATGTTAGAAGGATACAAATAAATGAGACAGAAATAATTGCTTGGACTGGGGATATATGGGTGGCATCCAGAAGAAGAAAAGACAGACATTTGAATAAGGCAGAATGTAACGAATCAAAGAAGAGAGTCCCGTCAGGTGGTTTTGATTGTCTGAGTTCCTTGGGGCATCAGGAGAAAACGGAGAAAGTTGAGAAATTTAAGGTGAGCCTGAGATGATGGGTAGGCACCAACATTGATGAAGTGGGTGGATTCAGGTGAACTGTGTGTTGTGAACAAAAGTGAGACATTAGAAAGAACCCATGCCTTCAGGAAAGGAAAGGCTTTGTCTTTGGAAGGAAGGCTTTGGCTAGCAGTAACAACCCTGGGCAACTTGGATCAATTATAATTTATTTGTTAGTGATTTTGTATTCCACATGTGGACATGTGGCTTCACTCGTCCTATTGTAGAAGCTGAGCTGAGCACGAAGAAGTCCAGGTCAATTTAGGTAGCTTGGTCAAGAGTGTAAGGACCCATGTTTCACCAGCTGACCTGACTCCTTTCCTAAGAAAGCAAGAGAAAAGCTATACACATGGGGACATGTGCCAGGGAAAGGGTGCTGGCCAAAGGGAAGGGGAGGAGTTGCAGGAGACATGAAGAAATCTAAACTGAATTCTGCAGCTGAAGTGATGCCATATTAGGGACTTGGGATAATATGTGACCAGCATTATAGTTGGGGTAGTAGAATCGCACCATAATGATCTTAATTGTGACAGGGAAACTTAGGTTGATTATTCTCTGCTAATGATATCATCTTTTTATGATTACAACTACAAACGTCATAATTTTAAAGATCCATTTTTACGGGTACTAAGGGTTAAGACTTCAACCTTAAAAAAAAAAAAAACCTCTATATTTTCACTAGACTCTTTTACTTTTGAGACCAGGGATCATAGTTCCTATCTTCTCAGGATTAATTCAACTGTGGGGTAACAGAACTGCAGAATGGTGATCATCATTGGATGGTAACTTTGACTGTGTCAGGTCCCTTGGGTAAGTGTATTGAAGTCAGCATCTTCCATTGGAAAAGGAGCAATCTAGTACCATCCTTACGGTTAGTAAGAGAGTAAGCACACTCAGCAGTTTGCCTAGCTGTAGCTATGCTATGGCTATTCACTTAGCAAATGCTTACAGAATTGTGTTGAAGGAGACTGTGTGACCTTTGATTATTCTACCATCAAACCATTGTCCCATTGGGATTTGTTTCTCCACCTGAAGATAAAACATGCTATGCAAGGTGACTCTGAGGTTCCTTCTTGTCTGAATTTTGTAGATTTATCTCATGTCCCGGTGTCTTCTTGTAACTCTAAGTGTGCGAGAACAAGAGAATGAGAGCAAACAAGTAAGAAATTACGGACTGTATATTTTTTTGGGGGATACTAATAAATCTTATGAATTTATGGAAGAACACATTGTTATTAGTTTATGTCTCATGGTTGACATTTTGTATCTATTTAGCTTATGTTAACCTTGTCAAGAATAAGAAAACTACCACAGTTTAAAACTAAATTTAAAGCAAACTTTAATTAAATACTGGCCAGGTGGATAGACTCTGGCCAAGTCCATATTCCGGTTCCCAGGAAATGGCACCGAGTCATGTTTGCAGGGACGTAAGAAGGTAAAACCCATAATTCACTGCATTTCCCAACAGGTCCAATTAGTGGCAAGCATATATCTTGACGTATTTCCTGCCCACAAACTTCCTGCCCACATGAGATCAAGCACATCCAGTGTAGATGGATCAAACAAACTTGTTTAGAGGAGAAAAAAACATGTGTCTTGTTATCCCCCATAAAGAAGCCTCCCACATTTCAGGAACCATCTGTCCTTGGGCAAGGAGCTTGCAGATCAGAGGCCTTTTTGTTTCATGGATCTCTTAGGTACAGTAATTAAAACTTAAAATGTAACGTTGGCTCTCATACTTACTTTTTTTAGTTAAATAAAATTTAAGAACTGTTTCTTGTTTCCTTAAGTGAGGCTTTGTGTTAGGTCAGAAATGACTAGAAGTGATGAATATAATGTTTTTCATTGTATTGCATTTAAATCTTAAATCTTAAAGCAAGTGAGATTTTAAATCTATTTAAAATTGTAAATAGGCTGGGGTAGAAATAAAGGATTCCGGTTTTCTAAGAAGTTACCTTATTGCCCATCTGTAGCTCCTTCTGCTACACACACACACACACACACACACACACACACACACACTTCTACATTATGGAAACAAAAATGAAGAAGGCGAGGCACATTCCATCAGTTTCTACATGCTGACCCTCTTTGCTGATTCACTTGCCATGTTCAAAGACATCCTCTACAGGTGGCAGAGTGACTCCCAGCAGCAGATGGGGAACAGATTGGAGGGAGTATTCTTTGGAGAAGTCTAAGGGAAAGCTTCCTGGGAGCTGTTCCTTTTGTATATGGTTGAACATCTTCCTCCATCTAATTGCATTGAACTGGTGCCTCTAGTTTATTTTGAATGGAGAGAAAAGGCAAGTGAAGTAGAATTGGGGGAGCAGTGTTGTGAGACAAAGGAGGGCAAAAGCTCCCCAGAGGAGCTGCCTTCTGTGAAAGGGACAGAAATAAGGTCAGAATGACTAGGTGTGGTCTGATATGAGGTCAGGTATCTACCAGAACAAGCAGGGGCAGGAAGGGTAGACTAAGGGGAAACCACCCAGACTTCATGTAAGTGTTTTGTCATTCCAAGTATCTCAGACAATTCCCATTCTCAAGCTCAAGTTGCTTTCTAAGAAGTTGGTTTCTAAAGACTTTCCCAGTTCTGTGGGGATAACTGCCCCTGCACCAGAGCAAGGGTGAGGTTATGTAAACGGTGAGCCCGAGGAGAAGAGGTGGAGGAAGAGGAAGAAACCACCCTCACTTGTTTATCTCGAAATTCTGTGAAAGGTTCAGTTTTGAAATGTAACTCTGTGAGTGTGATGAGGAAGAAAACAGGTAAGAAATGACTTAAGAGACAGGTAGACAGACAGACAGGCAGACAGATATCTCTGTGTGTGTGTGTGTGTGTGTGTGTCTATCTTTTTGTCTGTCTGTCTGTCTTTATGTCTCTGGGTCTCTCTCTCTCTCTCTCTCTCTCTCTCTCTCTCTCTCTCTCTCTCACACACACACACACACACACACACATACACAAAGGCCCTTGTAAAAACAACCAATAGGCTTTAGTAGCCCCAATCAGTGCCCTTGGCCTGTGTTTTCATTCCCTTCTTTGCCATTGTTTTGTAGAGACCTAATTAGATCTTTTTAGAAGAAGAATTTTGCTTAATTGGAAGAAGGTGATAAAAGGATGAAAAATAAATGAAAAAAATCTGTTTTCCAACAAACCCTGGGCATCCACTGGACACAACGATAATTATCACTAGTAAGCATAAACAAAGGATTAGGACCTACAAAACAAAGATATATCGGCAAAAATGGCTCCTTAAAATTATCTGTGGATTATTGAAATTTTGAAAGCTGATTTAATAGTGTGTAGATGAAGCATATATTAAAGGTTTAAAGAAGATCTCTCTCTTAAATAGAGCTCTGGTAGGCAATCATCTGCCTCTCTTTTCGTTTTCCAAGGCCATCACCAGTGATCACTGGGACGAGCGGGTCACCTTGTATTCTCTTGTTCCTTTTTCAATGTTTGTCTGTGTTAGGGTTCATAGTATTTTCCTTAAAAAAAAAAAGAACAAAAACAAAAGCAGCTCAGTACCACACTTGTCATCCTTCTGCCTTTGCCTTAGGGTCTCGATCAGCACACGAATACGTGCCTTACACTTTCCACCTACTGCAATGTATTCCACAGAATCAAACCCCACAAATCATGTAAGCACATCCATCTGGTACACAATTAAAACTTGAAATGATTTGTAGTTGCAAATAACCCCACAAAAATCATTCTTGGATTGTCTTTGCAGATAGAAGGGTTTACCAAGACTCCTAAGTTAGAATTACTAACTGCATACTTAATTTGATACTGTCAAATGACATCACTAATCGATTGATATATATTGATATGACTTGATTGATATATATTCCTACCATAGGTGTCTAACTGTCCATTTATCTGCACCTTTTCCAGTACTGTATATCATTAAACTTCTTTCCATCTGGTAGGCAACAGTTAATATTCACTATTTCAAAGTATTTTCTACTACATCGTTTCACCGATTTGTTAAACACTGACAAATCTATTGGTGATTTATATTTCTTCTCTAAATTATATCTTCACTGCTTTGTTATGCCCTTGAGTTTGAATCCCTAATGAAACCGTGGAACTAGTTTTTTAATGTAAATGCAAGAGGGTCTTTGTTTAGCAAGCTTATGCTTGGACCACAAACCTCCAGCACACCAACATAGTGGATAAGAAGAGAGTGCAGCCCCTAGTGTAGGGAAAGACAAGCTTTTAAAGGGAAACACTGCAATTCAGGGAATGCATGTCTTAGTGACTCAGGATTGGGTAGAAGGAGTACAGAGTAAGAAGATTTCTGAAGCCATTGGTCAGTTTTTGGGCATGAAACCCTAACAAAGTACTATAAATCGT